CTCTACCACTGAGCCACCTTCCCAGCCTCTGTGAGACTCTTATCTCCAATAAACCACTAGAAAACTGGAAGTGGCACCGTGGCTCAAGTGGTAGAGCGCTCGCCTTGAGCAGAAGAGTGCAGGGACAGTGCCCAAGCCCAGAGTTCAAGCCCCACAACCGACCCCTGCCCTTCAAGTCTCTGGCAGAATTCAGTTCCATTCAGGTATTGGACTGAGGCCCTTATTTCCTAGCTGGTCTGAGGCCACTGTTACCTCCTAGATCCTTCCTCTGGGGTCTCAGAACCAATAGCTTGTCCTTTCCCAGTGGCCATGTCGGTTTCTCTTTGCTATTCTATTGTAAGGGAATGTGATTATCCTACATTCTCCCTACTTAGTGTCTGTAAACTAATTCCAGCTGCAAAGTCCTTTTTGCCACATAGCATAATCACAGGTTTCAGCCACTAGAGCATGGGCATCTTTGGGGGACCACCAGTATTTTGCCTATTCTATACTGCTATGCACATTTTATAGGTATTTTTGTATGTCTTTTCCTATCTCTTCAGTAAATGCCCAGGAGTGGAACTGCTGGATCACGGGGAAGATACATGTTTAACTTTTTGATAACTATTTTTCCATTGCAACTGTATCTAGTACAATGCTACCAGCAAAGCTGATGTATGAGGGCTCCTGCTCCATATCTTTGCCAATATTTTTTTTACTAGCATACATTTGGTGGGGGGGGGCTTCCTTGCTTCCTTGTGACATTTTCACATATGCCTACAATGTAGCCATATAAACCTCATCCCCCTCCATCACTCTTCACATCCCACTCCCCCTCCTTAAAACCATTTCCATTGTTCTTTCTTCCTACATGCAAATAAACTACTTGCACTATTCCCACTCCACCCCCATCCACCTTGGTTAGCCTCTCTCCTCCTTCGGCTGGCTCTCAAGCCTGTTTGTTTCACTTTTGTGTCATTCATTTTTTGGTTTTTTAATTGCACCATGGGGCTTCATTATGCTACTTCAGAAACGCATGTACTATGCTTTCTCAGAATACCCATGTGTTCTTTTCTCTTTCCCCACCTCCCAATCCCCTATTGATCAACAGCTGTCAGTATGTTCCTTATGCCATCCACACACAGTTGCACTTTAATTTTGAAATTATTCCTTCTCAATCCATCTTTCTTTGCTTCCCTTCATTCCCCTATGTATTCCTATAATTAGAATCATGTCTTGTGTGCGTCTACATTTCTGTATGTATATATGTCTCTCTCATCTCACTCTGTGTCTATGTGCCTTTCAGGTCTAGCTTCCACAGAAAGGCAAAAATACAGGGCATTTGGCTTTTTGAGCTTGGCTTCCTCTCCCTCAACATGTTCACCAGTTCCATTCATTTTTGTGCAAATGACAAGTTCAGTTTTCTCTATGGCAGAGAAATCTTCTTTATCTGTTGTAGGCACCTTGGCTAATCCCACCGTTTAGCTATTGTGACCAGTGAGACGCTTACTTTAATTAACCAGCAGAAAGCTGGAGGTGGTAGAGTGAAAAAGCTAAGGGACAGCTACCAGGCCTTGAGTTCAAGTCTCAGAATTAGCACAAACACACATGACTTACTTGCTCACCATTATATACCAATGGTCTTAGTGACTGGCACATATCAAGCTATCAAGTGCACAGAAATGTTGTTGAGCAAGAGGGATAAGGATTTAAATGTGGATGATTTGGAGAAACACAGGAAGAAAAGCAGGTTTTGAACGGGGAAGGAGCTCCACTTCAAGGCAGAATTTAGATTACTCAACAGGTCATTAATGTGCAGGCACCAGCCCAACACCTGGAGGCCAGAGTGGCAGTAGGTCAAGGTGAGGGAACTCATGTGATGGAAGATGGATCCTCCAGGACAAGAAGGGAAACAACAAGTACAAAAGCAAAGACACTTGGGGCACATTTAAAAGAGCTCAAGAGCTTACAATGCTATGAAAAGAACAGGAAGAAAAGATTTGTGGGATGGGGCGCGGGAAGTAGGTGTAAGAGGGAAGTTCGTAAGTGATCACTCAGACACACGAAGAAGCAGCACGAGCTGGGGGAGTAACGTAACCTAAGGAGCAGAAAGCAACATCCTGTCCTCCGGTAAACACGAGAGAACTCCGTACGACTACCGATCGGAATCTGGAGTTAACTTTGGAACCTTCTGGAGTCGGTCACTAACTACAGTCGCCTTTTCAGGGTTTGGAGCTCTGTCAGCAGCCATCCAGGCCACGGCCCGGTCCGGTCAAAGCGGGAGGAGCAGGGGCGTGACCCCCGCTGCCGTCCTAATCAATCGTCCAGTGACTACCGGTCCGGGATGCTGGAAGCCCCGCCCGGTGCCCTCCTCCCGCCCCGTCAGCAACCGGGGAGGCGCAGGGAACCGTCGAGACTCCCGAGGACCCGAGAGAGGCCCACACGCCCGGGACGGGTCAGGGGTCACTCCCGGGCCGCGCGCCCTCGTGGGGACGCTCCAGCCGTGAGGGGTCACCCCCCGCTCTGCTCCCCCCGCACCCGGCCTCGATGACACCCTTGCCCGCCCACGAGCCCGCCTCCGCTTCCTACCTGCCGGTGCGCAGACCTGGCCTGCCCCCCAACTGCTGCCCTCTCGAGACCGCGCGGGCGGCGCAGCCCACCCGCAGCAGCGACCGGCCGCCCGCGCCCTCTACCCTCCGCCCCGCGCGCGACACGTGACCCCGCGCCCGCCCCCGCAGGCCCCGCCCCCAGAACAGCAAGTCCCGCCCCCGACGGAGCGCTCCACCCTCTCGAGCGTCCTCAGCGTGATGACGTTGGCGCAGGCGCACTTGGTCGGTGACGCCGGGGCGCCGCTGGACCAGCTGGGAGGCGTGCGTGCGGGGCTTCTGAGCGACTGGGAAAAGTGGGGTGCGTGGAAGAGGGCGGGGTCCACAGCGGAGGAGGGAAAGGGCCCAGATCCTGACCTCTAGTGCTGGGGTGCTGGGGGCAGGAGGGACCCGGCCGCGTCCGGAGCCCTCCCGGGGTCCGCGGTGGCGGGGCCCAGCGACTGATCCGCACTCTCGCGGGTTCCCGCGGCCGTGGCGACCCCCGCCTAGGGGCAGAAGTTGAAGGGTTAAGTGGGGACGCTCAGGGCGAGGCGAGGCCCTCCCAGCGCAGGTCCTGCTTGGACGGGGTTAATTTAGCGGAGGAACACTGGTTCTGGAGCCCTCGCGTGCACTTTTTTGGGGGTGGGGGCAGGGATGGTGGCCTAAATCCGCTCGCTCGCTCCGTTTGTCCACTGGGCAGGTCAGATCCCGGCGGGTTTCGGAGCCCCTCTCAGCACTGCCCTTCTATAATTCCGGCCTCTCAAGACCCGACCCTTTATCCCACTCGGAACGGGGGGAGGACTCATTTGCGCAATGCATCTGTCCTCTGCCTGGCTCCTACCCGGGGTGCACACGGGCGTGGCCGGAGCCACTGCCGTGCTTTTAGGCTTACTTGGTTGTGGGAGAATGTGATTGCCAGTTTTACTAACAGTGATAGTCGGCACGGTTCTGTTAATGGAGTTGAAGGTCTTCCGTGGACTTACCTTTAATCTTGTCGTTTATTTTGTCTCCTTTTAGAGGTAAATCTCCAAGGTAAATTGAAGTTGATGCATCTGAATTTTGTGTTGTTTTATCCCTTTTTATTAGCATTCTTGAGGCTATCTGCACCTTCTGACTGGGAAAAGATGGTCAACGTCTTGAAAGGAGTGCTTATAGAATGGTTAGTAATTTTGGTACTTCATGAGTTAAAGTTGTGTATTGCTTCTTGGATTTATTTGCATATGTTTTCTACCGTCTCCCCGGTACTGTTTGTAAAATCTGAATGAAATCAATTTTCTTTACATTTTGGAGATTCTTAGGGTTTGACCATCAGTGGGAGCCATTTTAATGGAGTGGGATAGATGCCATATTGTGGAATAGTAGCTCTAGTTACCCCCTTGTCCTTGGGGGTTGGGTTCCAAGACCACCCCCCCACCCCCCAGTGGATGTCTGAGTCTGCAGATAATGCCTATCACAGTTTAATACCTTCTCCATCTTAACTAAGCATTTATCAGTGGCCATAACATTCAGTTAAAAGCATCACAGCAAAACTAGTACATCTTTTTCCTTTTTCATAATTTCACAATAGGAAACTCATTATAAGCATCTTTAGCATACAGCTGTTCCCCGCCCCCTTGTTATATCAGTACTGGGCACTGAATCCAGGGCTCTGAATATTCTAGGCAAGCACTCTACAGCTGAGCTAGGTCTCCAGCTTAAGAACCTTCACTTTTCCTTCCTGAAGAAGGCAGGAAGATAGAATTACTAATTGTTAACCTCTAGTTTTGGGGGGTTTTTGTGGGGGGGTTTTGCATAAGGTGTATAAGGCAAAGACAACTTCCATTATCAAGCCAATTTGAACTGACCTACTAAGGAAAGTTGGCTGTTATCTCTAACACTGCTTTCTCTGCAGACCAGATAAACAACTTAAGTGACTAGAAGTTTTGAATGAGCGATTCAATTTTTCATTTTCACATGGAACTTAGTTGAAAACAATGACCTTCTGAAATTTTTACTTAAGAGTTGATAAAAAAAAAAGAGCAATAAGCCAGACTATTGTGATGGCAGTTAGGCCTAGCTTCAGTAAACCAAAAAGACAAGGCACCTGGATGTAAGATTCCCTCTTGTCAAGGTTTATCAAATACCAAAATGTAAGGCTAAGGGGCTGGCTGGAGGTCCAGTCAGTGGTAGAGCTAGTGCGTTTTTTAATATCAAAACAAGGTTAGTGAAAATACCTTCTCTTTTGGGATCCACTATCCACTGCCAGGCTCACCCAGAATTTTTTCTGAATCTAGCCAACCACAGCAATTACTGAAATAAGTAACATATGCCCAACATATGTCCATGTCTGATTCCAGGTGCGAGAGCAGACCTCTGGTGTTCAGGGAGCACAGTTATTGGCAGGTGTTTTTGCAGGGAAGATTTGTTACAGAGGGTAAACCAACTAGTTTACAGCCTAATCACAGTCTAGAGGAACATGTATTATTACATCTACCTTATTTTATGAGTTTGGCTCTTAAGCTTACATTAGTTGTGAGAAGTAAGAACTAGACTATTTTCTTCTTTCACAGTATTTAAGTCTTATCAGTCTTTGCTTCTTAGAAGTATCCCAGGCCTCCAAACAGTATCTGGAAATATAGTATATATTTGTTAAGTATAATTCTCAAACTATCAGGCACTGTCTAGAGGCCTGGGTGTGTGTGTTTTACTTAGTATTTGTTTACTGAGTATTATTAACAAATCAGATTTTGTCACAGTCAAACTCGAGGTTTTTAGTCTCTATATTCACATAGTGGAAATAAACCCAAGAGCCTGGCTACTCCAGAGGCTGAGATCTAGGATTGAGATTTGAAGCCCGCCTAGGCAGGAAAGCTCCTAAGATTCTGCAGTTACCAGCAAAAAGCTGGTAAAGCACCAACCTTAAATGGAAAGAGCTAAGGGACAGTGCCCAGGACATGGCATTCAAACCCCAATACTGGCATTTTAAAAAAAATGGAAAAATAAATGTAATAGTGTGAAAAACAGCCAAGTTCTGGTGGCTCACACCTGTAATCCTAGCTACTCAGAGGGTTGAGATCTGAGGATTGTAATTCAGAGCCAGTCTGGGCAGGAAAATTCATGAGATTCTTGTTTCCAGTTAACCACCAAAAAGGCTGGATGTGGAGCTGTAGCTGAGCAGTAGAGCCACCAGCCTTAGGAAATAAGGAAACAAGCCATACAGGCCCTAGTTCACGGCCCAGGACTGGTACCAAAAAAAAAAAAAGTGTTTTAAATGAAAGAGTAAAAATAATCACTGTGGTTCTATCACTCAGAACACCATTGCTTTTTGTTTGTTTCTGTTTAATTTTTTTGGGGGGAAGGGCAGTCCTGGGCTTCAACTTAGGGCCTGGGAGCTGTCCCTGAGTTTCTTTTGTGTAAAGTTAGCTCTGTACCACTTAAGCCACAGCGCCACTACTGGCTTTTTTTGGTAATTTATTGGGATTGCCAGACAGGTTTTAAATCATGATCCTCAGATCTCAGCCTCCTGAGTAGCTAGGGTTACAGGTGTGAGTCACCAGTGCCAAGTGTTTAACCTTTTTTTTTTCTCTGAACATAGTACAAGGGGGTGACATTTAACCTCTTCATGAACTGGTCCTGCGCTTCTTGCCAGTCACCCCTTCAATCCATCCTCCCCAGCCACTTCTCATCCCCACTGTTAGCACTCTGCAATCATTAGTGTCTCTTTCTCCCAATTGTCCACCCTTACCTCGGCCATTTCCTAGACTTTCCTCAATTCTGCAGTCAAGGTGATCTTTACATTTAAATATTTAGTTTGCAAGTCAATAAAAGCCAAAATTACCTCCAAGGACATACTTAATGATTGAAATAAATAGTTTTTTAGTATTATTTAATACTCATGTTTATACTTGGAAGAGGGAGAGCTTGTTTATTTGTTTTGTTTTTTTGTCGGTCGTGGGGCTTGAACTCTGGGCTTGGGCGGTGTCCCTGCACTCTTCAGCTCAAGGTGAGTGCTCTACCACTTGAGCCACAATGCCACTTCTGGTTTTCTAGTGGTTTATTGGAGATAAGAGTTCACAGACTTTCCTGCCAGGGCTGGCTTTGAACAGCGATCCTCTGATCTCAGCCTCCTAAGTAGCTAGGATTACAGGCATGAGCCATTGGCACCTGGCTGGAAAGCTTGTTTTTGTTGTTCTCAGTAAATAACTCCACTTTTGGATTAAATTGTTATCTTTGTAATTGATTTTGACATTCGTCAAGTCATCAAAAAGATTGTGTAAAATTCCATTTTCTCTAAGAATTGCAAAAAATCTGTATCCAATTTGACATTATCCATCTTTGAAGAAACACATTACTATATAATTTACCTAAAGTTTTCTGTTTCTGTGTCACAGGTCAACGGGTGCGCACGCGCGGGCGTGTGTGTGTGTGCACACGTGCGTGCGTGCGTGTGTGTGTGCATGCGTGTGTGTGTGCGTGTGTGTGTGTGTGTGTGTGTGTGTGTGTGCGTGCATGCATGTATGTATACCACTGCTGGAGTTTGAACTCAGGGCCTGAGTACTGTCTCTGAACTTTTGTGCTCAAGGCTAACGTTTTACCACTTGAGCCACAGTTCCACTTACAGCTTTTTTTGATTGCTCACCCATGTAATCCCAGCTACTCTGAATGCTGAGATCTGAAAATTGCAGTTAGAGGCCAGCCAGGGCAGGAAAGTCTGTGAGGCTCTTATTCCAATAAACTACTCAGAAAAGGCTGGAAGTGGTGCTGTGGCTCAAGTGGTAGAGCCCTAGCCTTGAATATGAAGGCTCAGGGACAACACTCAGGTCCTGAGTTCAAGCCCCAGCACTGGCAAAAAATAATAGTAATCTCAGGGCTTTCCTGCCTGGGCTAGTATCAAACTGTGATCCACAGATCTCAGCCTCCTGAGTAGCGAGGATTGCAGGTATGAGCCACTGGTGCCTGGCTCAAGGTCTTTTTGGAAGAGTCATGTTGTAAAGCTGTACTGTCTGTCAGCCTATTTATTTCAGACTAAAATGTAGAAGTCAGTAGAATTTAATTTGGATCTCTTCTTTGAGAGACCCAAATTCACAAGGCAATTTTATTAGAATTTCCTTCAAAGATTCCGAATGATAGTTGGGACCAGTGCCATTATGAGTTTTAAGGAGGACAGAATCTTGAGTGCCTGTTATAAGCCCAACACTCCTAGTCTTGGCATTCATTTAATTTCCATAGTAGTTCTCTTCTGTAAACTTACTGTTGGGAACAGAGGCTCTGGAAGATTAAGTTCATATCAGGTTATACAGGTCACTGATCTTGACTCTTCATCATAGCCCTTGCTTTATCAATGTGACAATTTAATTTTTGTGGGTTAATTTGTCGTACACAAGATACTGAACAGCTGTTTGTTTCTGTAATGGTCATGCAGGAAAAAAATTAATATTTTGAATCAATTACAGATGCAGTAATTCAAGACCTTATTAACTGTGAAGCTTTGAATAGTTCAGGTTTTTGTCTGTCAGTGACAAATTATTCTTTGCAAACCCTGTCATTGACATCTCAGAAATTCTGCATGCTTGAGTCTTTGTGGTGTGGTTTTGAAACCAGATGTCTGGTTGTGTGCTTGTCCCACAGTGATCCCGCCATGAAGCAGTTCCTCCTGTACTTGGATGAATCTAATGCGCTGGGGAAGAAGTTCATCATTCAAGACATCGATGACACTCATGTCTTTGTAATAGCAGAGTTGGTTAATGTCCTCCAGGAGCGAGTAGGTGAATTAATGGACCAAAATGCTTTTTCTCTTACCCAGAAGTAAAAATACTAACCGTTGGTCACTTAGGAATTATAAGCAGCAAATGTGAAAGACCATCCCCATTTCAAATCATGTAATCAGTTAAACCTAGCAGATTGTTTAGGAGCATGTTGTAGGAAAGAGGGTGGGATCATTTGTTCAAATAAAACCAAAGCCCCTGAACTGATTGTGTTGTACTTTAGAAGTTAAAAAAAAAAAGAAACTTTTAACAGTGGGCTGTTCTTTTAGTAAAATAAAAAATGTTTTTCTTATTTTTAATACTAATTTAACACATCAAAAATAAAATGGAATATGCCATTCGATTTTTCAGTGTAACTTAGATAATTATGTTACTTGTTCCTGTTCATAATTGTGAATTTTATAGTATGAATGCTGTTGATTTTGTTTCAGTTATAAACTTCATAGATTTACTATTTAAATAAAAATGCCAGGGTAGAAACTTTGGTAACGTGTATGTTCCCCAGATGTGTGCTTACAAGCCGTCTCTATTGATGAAGATGTAATATTAATGTAAACGACAGTTTGTGTTTACCTGAAAATGAGTTTATAAATGCTAGGAGTTAGAAGCAAGCAAATGGACCACCAGTGCTGGTGGCTCATGTCTGTAACCCTAGCTATATAGGTGGATGAGATCTGAAGATTAAGATTCAAATCCTGCTGGGCACTGGTGGCTCACGCCTGTAATCCTAGCTACTCAGGAGGCTGAGATCTGAGGATCGCGGTTCAAAGCCAGCCCGGGCAAGAGAGACCGTGAGACTCCTATCTCCAATAAACCACCAGAAAACCGGAAGTGGCGCTGTAGCTCAAGTGGTAGAGTGCTCGCCTTGAGCTGAAGAGCTGAGGGACAGCGCCCAGGCCCAGAGTTCAAGCCCCACGACCGACCAAAAAAAAAAAAAAGGTCTCACGGACTGTCCTGTCTCGGCTGGTTTTGAACTGCGATCTTCAGATCTCAGCCTCCTGAGTAGCTAGGATTACAAGTGTGAGACACTGGCGCCCAGCCCAATTACTTTCCTCCCACTGCCCTTAGGCATGCCAGTTATAGGTGCTGGGCAGGGACTTCTGTGGTGCACAGGGAGAAAGCCAAGGGAAGGGGCCATTTGTCCCAGGTGGACCTAACAATATTCTTTTTTAATTTTCCATGATTAAAATTTTTCCTTATTTAAAAATTTTCATTGACATGATAATTCTGTGTATTGAGTACAGGGTGATAGTTTGGTGTATGTGCTTACAGTGTGTCATGTTTGGATCGGGTAGTTGGCATTTCTGTCTTAAATCTTGAGTATTTATGTTGGGAACCTTTGAACCCTCTTTTCTCACTTATAAACTATGTAGTAACTAGTGATAAGTGCTAGTCTCCTACTGTGCTTTAGATCGCCGGAACTTATTCCACTGCCCAGCTGAACACTTCATGAGCTGCCTTTTCTTGTTGTTTTTTCCTACTTTTTTAAAGCTCTCTACTTTAGGAATGTTTTTCAAGTTTGTCATTAACCTTGATTTACTTTAATGAAATCTCTTCCTATTGCCCTCATCATGATTTTATTTTGGCTACTGAGCTTTTGTTGCATTGGACTCTCTTTAGAAACTACTTCTTGTCAAGCTGGGTTTTTGTTTGTATCTTTTAAATTTTTTCTTTTTTATTGTTATAATAAAAGTGATGTACAGAGGGGTTATAGTCATGTAAAGAGTACATTTCTTTTGGACAATGTCTTAACTTTTTAATTGAAATTCTCTTAATAAGCAATACACATTCATTGTAAGTAGATTAGGAAGGGGAAACGAAAGAAGAAAATACAGCTCATCCATAATCCCACCATTCAGGAATAACCACTGTTAGAATTTTGGTGACAATCTCAAAGCTTTTTCTAAGAGTTTGAAGTCTTTGGGATGAGTCTTCCTCCATCCCAAAGAGATCGCACCACCCTGTCAATTTTTTCATTTATCTTTTTATGATTATTTATTAGAAATGGGAGCAGGAGTTCTATTTCAGAGGCAAGTTTTTCTTTAAATTTCTTGAGTACATTGGGATTACAGGGAAGCTCTTTAAAAATAGCACTGTCATCCCTTAGCTCCCATTTTTTCAAATATAATTGTTTTGGGATGAGACCTGTTAACACATCAACCTTTTTAAAAGGCTTCCTGGTGCTTCTACTGTACAGTCAGCTGAGAACCCCTGGCTGTCTGCAGTAGAGACTTGGGTAGGTGGTTTTGTTGAGGGTTTTTGCTTGATTTCCAGTAGGTTTATCCGCCAGCACATCTGTTTCCTTTCACTGCCAAGGAAATGCTGAGCCTACCCAGCAAGGAACCAGCTTTTATTAAAATCCACTAATTAGATAACTGATTCCCCATGTAGTTTCAGGAACTTATTTATTTGGCACTAATTAGCTTGATTTAGATTCTTTGGCTGGATTGTATCTATGGGTATTCTATTAGAAAAAAATACTTAAACTTAATTAAAATACTAAAGGTAAGTTTGCATATAATCCATTTTGGGTTAAAAATGGTGAAATCTCTTGATACTACTCAGAATAAATCTAAGAAATACTAGGTATTACAGATCTTTTTTTCTTGAGGGGGTCAGGACTGGCAGGGCTTAGTCCCTCCTCAGGCTCAGAAATGCTGTGTTTACAGGTATGTGTCTCATCACTATTTCCTGTTCTTGATTGTAAGGATTAACATTTGACTAAGAAAACTTTTGACTCAGAAAATGAATTTGAATGTAATACAAAGAAAACAATGTGAATTATCATTTGTATTATTATTTAAAAGAACAATATATAATGAAGTAGAGACGACTCTGAGTAAGTTAGGAATATTATAAACCTATGTATTGGTCTCTCAAAGTTTAAATGAGATAAAACTTTTAAAGGTAAAAGATTTTGGTGTGGAACCCCTGGCTCAGATCACACTTGTAATCCTAACTGCTCAGGAGGCTGACATCTGAAGACTGCTGTTTGAAGCCAGCCCAGACAGAAAAGTGTGAGACTTTTTTTTTTGTTCAGTCACAGGGCTTGAACTCTGGGCCTGGGCGTTGTCCCTCAGCTCTTCCACTCAAGGCTAGTGCTCTACCACTTGAGCCACTGTGCCACTTCCAGTTTTCTGAATAGTTTATTGGAGGTAAGAGTCTCACGTACTTTCCTGTCTGGGCTGGCTTTGAACCGTGATCCTCAGATCTCAGCCTCCTGAGTAGCTAGGATTACAGGCTTGAGCCACCAGCGCTGTCTCTGATTTACCAGCAAAATGTTGGGCTCAAGTGGTAGAGTACCAGCTGTGAGCAAAAACATTTAGTGAGAGCAGGAGACCCTGCGTTCAAGCCCCAGTCAGCATAAAAATAAAACTACAGGGCTGGGAAGGTGGCTCAGTGGTAAGTGCTTGCCTCGCATGCATGAGGTCTTGGGTTCGATTCCTCAGCACCACATAAGCAGAAAGGCCAGAAGGCGCTGTGGCACAAGTGGTAGAGCGCTAGCCTTGAGTTGAAGAGCTGAGGGACAGCGCCTAGGCCCAGTGTTCAGGCCCCATGACTGATGATAAATAAAGAAAAAAGTTCAAGATTTTCAAGGCTTGGTGGTTAATATCTCAGCTACTGTGCTGGAGGCAGAAGTGGGAGGACTGTGACCTAAGGCCAGCCTAGGCATAAACTGGAGATTCCATCTGAAAAAGCCAATAGGACTAAGGGTGTGGCTTAAGTCATAGAGGGCTTTGATTACATGGTACAAAGCCCTGAGTTCAAACCCTAGTGTTGAAAAAAAATTTCCATGATATTTTTATATATTCATCAGTATCATCTTCCTCATCATTATTGGGTATTTGATTCTAATGTTTTCTTGAACTGATTGCTTTATGGTATATATACTCTCTCCTTCCCCAAACTCAAACAGATTTTTGTTTGTTTTTTTGCCAGTCCTGGAGCTTGAACTTAGGTCCTGGGTGTTGTCCCTCATTGTTTTTGCTCAAAGCTAGTGCTCTACCACTTGAGCTGCAGCTCCAGTTAGGTACTTAATAAAGTTTCTTAGATACAAAGAGGGTTGTTTTGTTTAGTGATTCTTTATCCCCCAACTCAAAATAATGCATTGTTTACTAACATACTTCTGTTTGAGAAGAACACCAACACAAAAGCATCTTAGAACATTAACTCCTCACAATCATGCCCACATTTTTTAGAAAGCATTAGTTCTAAAGTTCAGTCTCCACACCTGCCCATTGACAGAAGGCAAAGCCCTGTAGAGAGGCTTCCAAGTGTATAAGAAGTTAGCCAGGGGAAGCTATTTTAAAATCCTGTCTGGTAGGAAGGGCCAGCCAGGCTTGATGAATCTCCTGGGAATTCCCAAAGCTCAAACTGATGAACAGAATGCTCCTTACTCCCCATGCACTTGGAGTCTCAGATCACCCCAGTAATAATTTCTTCTGGAAAGCCAAAATTTGGCGGCTGCTAGGCAGTTAGAACACACAGTGGACTGGGAGGAGCCTCATGTTGAAGGATCCTTTTCCTCCAGCTATCATGTTTCTATGGAAGTCAGAAACTACTCTTCTGCCTTCGCTATAGGGGTCTAGACGTTCTCGAAGCCCTGGTGAAAAGTATTTCCCAGACCAGGGCACTAGCCTCAAGTTAGGAGCCCATCCCAAACTTAATGAATCACCATCTGCATTTTGCTGTGTGCTGGTGGCTCATGCCTGCAATCCTAGGTACTAAGGAGGCTGGAATCTGTAGGATCTTGGTTTGAAGCCAGTGTGGGAAGAGCAGTCCTCCAAGATTCACCAAAATAACCTGCAAAAAGCAGGGCTGGAGATGTGGCTCAAATGGTAGAGCACCAGCTAAGTAAGCAAACCAAGCATGTGTGAGGGCCTCAGTTCAAACCTCATTATCAACATCAATCTGCATTTTGGTGAGATCCTTACATGTTTTTATCTACACTGAAGTGAGAGAGGAATTGCCATGAAGAATCCACTGTGGGATAAAGCAGAGCACTTGGGAACTGACTTGGAGACCTTTCTCTAACTGGTGCTAAAGCTTAGGGAGACTGGCTTTCCCAAAGCTCCAGCTGAAACAGGCTTTGCAAACCAGAAAGGAAAACATCCACAACCACAGAATTTAAAAATGCTCATGTCACCCACCTTCTGGCCGTCCAAGACACGGATTCTGGAGGCAACTAAATAACCTTGAGAGATTCCCTGGCTCCCTAGAGAAACTAGCTTAGCCACTTCTACTATGCATGTACTAGGTAGGCGCCTGCTTAATCTGCCATGAAGATATAAGTACCTATGTTGATTGTGGATATTCAGACCAACAAATATCAGCTCAAAGTGCCTGTGAAAGCCGGACACTGATGGCTCATGCCTTTAATCCTAGCTACTCAGGAGACTGAGATCTAGAAGATAGGGATTTCCTATCCAGCCCTTCCTTCTTTGTGAAAAAAAAATACACATTTAGAATTAGGTGTGGGGCTGGGAAGGTGGC